GGCTAATTTTTGTTTTTGTCATTTTTTGTATAGATGGGGTATTGCTCTGTTGCCCAAGCTGGTCTCAAACACCTGGCCTCAAGCGATCCTCCCACCTTGGCCTCGCAAAGTGCTGGGATTATAGGTGTGAGCCACTGCACGTGGCCTAAAATGATTTTTTAAGATGCCAAAACTCAATATGTACAAGTGTGTTAAACTGTATACACACATACAAAACAATTAAAATAAAGACATAGCAATAAAGAGGATACACACACACACACACACATATATATATAATTTTAAGTGTCTTGTCTGACGTGTAAAGTAAGTGATAAATAAAACTTGTTCACATACACCCCAGAGACTTTGGTATCATTGCAGTAGCATAATTTAGTCTAATCTGACTGGCTTTATTGTGTTGTGAGCATTTCATGAAATAATTCATATAAAGTATTTAGCAAATACGTTTTAATATGTAAAGCAGTTAAGAGTTTAGGCTTTAGAATCAGATTGCTTAGGCAAAATCCTAGCTCTACCTCTTACTGAGTATGATACGGGGCAAATCTTTTCACATTTTGTAAGTTTTCTCATTTGCAAAAATAGGAATTATAATGATAACTATCTTATATAGATGTTATGAGCATTAAACAGGAATTCATGTAAAGTACACACAATATGACACATAAACGATTCCTAGGGATGGTGGGTGTACTACCGAGGTGACCTCTTATGGAGGTTTAGAAATGTATGAGGACTGGAACTGAATATGACTAAGACAGAACCTAAGCTTCAGAGCCTGTGACTGCCACATAAAATAGAAACTACTTAAAACGATGAGATACTGAATTTGGAATCATATTGAATGGCTGTTCTTTCCCAGCTGCTGTGACTTCTGGACTGACACAAGGCATTAACACGGTAGTAGCTGGTCCCAGAGAATGTGAAAACTTGATTATATTACAGGGAAAGTTTAAAAGCTTGAACATAAGGCAAACAATGGAGAATACTGCAATTCTGACCCCCTTTTTTTGCTGATTCTTTATGAAAACTTGATCTTTTAGAAATTTTCTTTAAGTACTCCTCAAAAAAGTACAATGTAAATGAACCTTTATAAAAGATAAATTAGAGGAGAGAGAGTGAAGGTCATTCCCTAAGATGGGTCTTGACCACACAGGGTCTCTCAGATAGATTAGCAGTCACCTAAAGAATAGACTTGCTCCTAAGGGGTAAAAAATGTGCTTACCTTCTAATGCTCTGGCATCATTTTTAAAAACTTGTCTGGTCCTGTGCAATGTTTTAAAGAGCTGTAAAACCAGTTAAGAAAATCAGAATTCAGACCTCAAATGACGACATTTCACATTTTCCATAATTATATTATAAGGATTAAGCATTATTGCTTTATTTTTGTTTCTTAGACTATTTTCAAAATAGCTGGCAAAAATCAGGGCTTGTCAAAATAACTTTCCCTTGATTATTTATCTTTAGATTTAA